ATATCAAATTGCAAATCAGCATCATTTGTAAGCATTTTAATGACATTCCTCTGCAGCTCTTTTGCAGAAAAACTCTTTTCAATTCCTTTCCTTTCTCTAGTTCTCCACATTTTTTAAATTTTGAAAGACTTATGCCAGGTTGCATTCAGTTAAATATGGTGAAATTCTGTTTGGTGTTTGTTTTTGAAAGAACTGTTTGCACATTCTTGAATTTTATTAAGAGCAGCTCTTCTGGATGATGGGTTAGCATCCACTGAAAAAATCTGAAAGCCCTTGATGACAGTAGTTCTGTCCTAAAACCACAAGTGAATTTGTTAAACGGAATTTGAGAAGTGATAAACAACAACAGCCAAAAATAGGAAACAAGATGGCAGAAGCATGAGAAAAACAATATCATAACCTCACTTAGCCTCACTTGAGGTAAGCTAAAAATGGTTACAATTGATCAATCAATATGATCAATAAATTTATATTCTCTTTTTTTCCCATTTTTATTTGCTCCAAAGCTTGCATGCAAGGAATAATATGATTTCTATAAATATGTTCTTGGCATTGTTTTACTTTTACTGGCAAATACTTGTAAAGATTGCTTTTTGCATTTTTTGGGCAAATTGTTTTCTCCTTTTATTTTCACCAGCCAAATTCCTAATTGCTACATGTTCCAAAAGGCTTTGTAATAACACTCCTTTCTTTTATTGTTTAACTGCTTGTAGTATTTGATTTGAGCAAACCCTCAGAGAAAATGTAGCATAGTAGCTTAGTTATTCAGTTCTTATCATTTGACAGATGGAGCCAGTTAACAATGGAGAAGTTTATCTAACAAGTGCATGATTCTCAAACCTCATTAATAATTGGTAAATTAGAAATATGGGTAATTGCTTCAAGCATGAAAAGAAACATTTTCTTTGGCACATTTTAACCAAATCTTTTAGAAATATATGTTGCCGTCATGAATTGCTCTGGACCTATATGTTAAATACTTGTAAATTTAATTTTCTTTGGCACATTTTAACCAAATCTTTTAGAAATATATGTTGCCATCATGAATTGCTCTGGACCTATATGTTAAATACTTGTAACTTTAATGTTTAGGATTTCACTGGTTGTTACATAAACATTCATGTTGACACTTTCATCAGATGGCAAAGCCTGATATGTATATTGTTTGAAAATGTAACATTCCATTATACACGTGGTTATAGCGTCTGCCTTGGATGTGGGAGGTCCCTGGTTTGATCCCCGACTTTGTAGTGATATGGCTACAAAATTATTAAAGCCACATTAAAAATCCAAAACACACACAACTACAAAAATACAGATTTCTGCTTGTAATTGCACCAATATAAATTCTTACTACATGAATGTCCAATATCAATGACATCAGCATGTTCATGTACAAATCATTTCTCAATTATGTTTTTAAAAAATCTTTACTGTAAATAGCTTAGGGTCCCCAGGGAAATTTTCATTTTCATTTGGTGTGGGGCCAATTTCATTTGGTTTGGGTTTGGAGTGTTATGGCACTGTAATAAAAGTAGGTTACTATGTGCTGATGTAAATGAAGTGAAGTGCCTTGCTCTAGGGCACACTATGGTAGTCAACAAATGATGATCCAGTGATAGGGTTCTAACCCACATGATTTTAGCTGTGAGTCCAGTGCACTAACCACTCTACCACTGTAACTCCTATAGTTGTCTCTCATAACATAGGAGTTAACAACACGTATACTGTACATCCCCAAACCTTCAGAGGCTACAGAAGAGATCAGTTTTTGTAATTCTTTGTTTCGTCAGAAAATAAAGACAGTTTTATTACTGTTACAATTAATAATAATAATAATAATAATAATAATAATAATAATAATAATAATAATAATAATTGTTATTTTTTCATCATCATCATCATCATTATTATTATTATTATTATTATTATTATTATTATAATTTGTTTATTATTATTATTACTATATTATTATTATTATCATTATTATTATTAATACTAATAATATATTATTATTATTATCATTATTATCATTATTATTATTATTATCATTATTATTATTATTATTATTAATACTAATAATACTACTCCTATTATTATTATTATTATTATTATTATTATTATTATTATTATTACTAGTAGAAGTAGTAATACCACTACTACTACTACTATTACCACTACTACTACTATTACTACTACTACTACTACTACTACTACTACTAATTATTATCCACCATTAAGGGTATGTTTATCTAACATTTTAAGCATACACAATAAAACACAAACACTGTACATGTAATAGTTTTGTGTAAGAATGAAGTCTTTGATATAGAGCAGTCTATGCAAGGGTCTCAACAGAGACAAAAATACATGTATAAATGACAGCTTTTTCAATCAAAATAACAGATATTGATAGCTTTGCAGGGGAAAAAAAATGGTGCCTACAAAGTGACTGGTACTTGAAAATACAATTATCAAAGAAACTAATTTTTAAATGAGATCAGCATCATTCCAACCAGCTGTTAAATTGAAAAAATACTGTCACTAATGTTATGCTATGCACTAATGAGGTCCCCACCTACATCTGTTCCCTTATCAGATGGAGCTACTGTTGAGTGTATAATGATAAGGAGAATAAAACTCTTTTGAAGGTGTACTTGGGAACCTAAAAGGGAGCAAGATTCCCAGCTTCCCTGGTGTGGAGGTGGCAGTAATCACAAGGGGGAGGGACATGGTGGACTGAAAATTCCAGCAATAAATGGGGAAAATTGGTGAAGTAGGAGGATGCCAGTTGTATTTGAACCAATAATTTTTGATACATTAAGAAAATACCAGACAGACTGGTCCTAAACATATATAGACAAGTAAACTTGAATATTTTTTCACCACAACAGCAAGAGTAAGTCAAATAGCACCTATTATGCCTCTTTAATGACCATCTCCATACTAATGACCTTGACCTTCAATGCTGGGAGTTAACAATATGATGATATTTAAGTCTGGACACAGGAAAGTTTCATCAAAATATATGTAGGCTTAAAAAAATGTCAGTCTGCAAAGAAATCAGGCCAATGACTTAAATTATCCCATGCTGTAACCTTCATTCTGAGGCAGGGATAAACAAATACAACTTAAATTATTCCTTGCAGTGACCTTCAGTCTGAGGCAGGGGACATATTTGAAAACACAAAATACTGTCAATTCAATATGTATAAAAGGTTAAAACTAAATTGCAATATTTAAAATATATATCCGTACATTTATAGAGGCTGTTGAAACATATTTTCCTTCACTATGGAATTGATATAGAGTCCTGAGATGAGAAAAAGGATAGAGGTCAAAGAATGACCTTTTCTCCTTGCAGTAACCATGATTTTGTGGTAGTTGCCAAGGCTCTGTATATGACCATGGTCTCTATATGATTTTTAAGTTGCAAAACTTTCATTACGATGTCTTCAGTGTTGCAAACCTTCTACTAAAGGTTCCCCCACTTTCTAAATAAAAAATTTCCACTTCTTTACCAGGTTTTTTCCTGGAGGAAATTGATTTTTTTCAAGGTCCATATCTGGCTTTTATTGAATAGAATCAACAACAAACTGGCTTCAAAGAAAGACATTTCTTTATCAAGTCTCTCCCATAACATTTGAATCAGACATTCAAACCAAGTATTAAACCATGAATTTATTAATTAATTCATATTCTGTTCTAATTTGAACCTTTGACACAGATGTCCATTATCAAAAGTACCATATATACTTACTTTTAAGTCAAGTCTAACTGCACAGATCTAGTTCTGCCATTGCATGATGCATTTGTAGATGTGGGTAGATGTGGGTCTGAACAGTTTGTTAGAAGAACAAATAACATATACCCTGGCACATTATACTATGATAGAACACAATCTTTATTGCATGCAGTTTTATTCAACTTATACATAAGTGAACAAAATTGTTGGTGTTTTTTTATATATTTGACATTAATTGATGGTGACCATATTTTTATGGAGGATTTGCATAACAACAACAAACTTTGAGAGCCCGTTGTCAGGAGGCTCCCAGTCTGGTTGAAAATGATTCAGTCGCTGTTGAGAAGTTTAACATACCAAACAGTTACAGACACTGTACAATACATGACACACACTAAACACATGCCTTATGATGAAGCTTGTATAGCAAATTAAAACTGGTGTTTAATATTTGGCATATTCCTCTTCAAAAATTTCTATAGCATGGTATATTTTGAACTTTTAAGAAATTTTAAATTATTTACAATAGATATAAGCATCTCATGCAAGTATTGTACAGATATTTTCTGCTCTGCAGACAGACTCTCCAGACTACATAAAAGATGAATCCATTAGGAACAATACAACTCAACAATTTCTCTCAGTTAAACTGCCCCATTAATGATGTCATTTAAGTTAATATTCCAGAATTGGATAATATCCCCCACACAAGGGGTGTCTAATCACTAATGTAAATGATCATAATTAAGCCTGAAGCTACAGCTTAGTAAACATACTTACAAATGCACACTCTTTTAATATTGCCTGCTGAGCCACTATTACTTTTGTAATATGAAACACACTGCAGTAATGTTCAATAGGAAAAGTAATTAAGTTAAAAAAAATTTTACTACTGAACTAATTGGATTGAAATTGGCAGACATTTACTATAAAGAGCATGTAAGCTGCCAAATTTCTTCTGATGAAAGGAAAAAGTACAAGATAGAACTTAAGAATAAACTATTTTGCTGCACAATTAATTAAAGGAAATTAGAAGATACTTGCTAATAAATCAAGTGCAACTGCACACTTCACAGACCCACATCTGCCACTGCCTGCTGCACTAGCAGATCTGGGTCTAAACAGTTTGTTAGGAATAATTATTAGGATTAAATAAAAACACATATCATGATCTGCTGATGCACTATGTGACAACATATCAGGGTGTATAATTTCCAGTATACAAAACAAATTGCTAGTACAAAACTTGTCAACCGCTCAGGTGGCTTAGTTGTTAAAGCGTCCGCCTTGGATGTGGGAGGTCGTGGATTCGATCCCCGGTCAAGTCATAGCAAAGACTTACAAAAATGGTACTAACTAACAGCTGCCTCGATTGAAGCTCAGCATTAAGAGGTTAGTGTTAGTACTGGTCGGCCTGGTGTCAGGATAATGTTATTGGGTGGAACATCATACCACATGTCTGCTGCATGATGTCCCAGTGCTAGACATCACCATCAACTGCCACACTGCAGACATCATAGTGATATGACTGAAAAATTGTTAAAGCTAAGTTAAAAATCATAATCACATCACATCACACAAAACTTGTGTCAAGTCTCATATGAGCAAATCAACCATAAGTGGTCAGTGTCCAACAAACTTCTTGTGACAAAAAGTTTTCAGTATACGTGGTAATATCTCTGTTGTTATATACATGCATACTAGTTAATACTTTGTTGTCATGTTGTCATAAACCTTTATCCCTGTTGAATAAAATTTATTTAGCACACGCCCACACACATACACTTACACACATATGCACACACATTTAGACAGGAACACACACACACATGCACTTGTACACACATGTATACACACATGTTGTCATAAAATTTTATCCCTGTTGAACAAAATTTATTTAGCAAACACACACACAAATGCACTTGCACACACACACACACACACACACACACACACACACACACACACACACACATCAAACCACCCTTTCCTCTAAAAAATTGAAAACACCAAAATCTCCACCATATGAAAATACCAGAGAAGGGATTCCACCTATGAAACTTATGAAGAAATCATTGACAATATTTCAAGCTGTTACAGAATCTTGTCTAAACTATGTCATGAATACTGACATCATGTAAACTGACATAATCTAATGTAATTTAAACTATCATAATGTAAACTATGTCATGTAAACTGACATGTTATCTTACAAATTGTACACTGACATGTAATCCTGATGTAATGGACACTGAAATCATGTAAACTGACATAAGGTAAACTGACATCATGTAGACTGATCCCATGTAAATTGACATGTTATCTGACATGTAAGTTAACATTATATAAGTAGATGTCATGTAAACTGACATCATGAAATGTGATTTTGTAAACTGACTTGTTTTTTTATGTAATGTAAACTGACATCATGTAATATGAATTCATGTAAACTGATATCATGTAAACTTACAGCATGTGATCTGACATCCTGTAAACTGATGTCATGTAAATTGACACTTTAAACTGACATGAAATTAGGCATCATATTAACTTGCCTCTTAAAAAATAATATGTCAGTGGATTATATTCTCTACAATGAAAAGATATATCAGAAGTGTATAATTGACACATGCCATTACACAGTATCCTGCACACTTCATTCTATGACTTTTTATGGCAAAATTCAGGTGAAAGTTGGAGTACATTCTTGCCGTTTATGAAAAATAAACATCTGCACCAAATGTAAGTAGACATTTCCCTAGAAAAGGGCAGACTAACAAAATGTTCATTCTTTCAATGTTGAGCATGTTCATTCATTAAATCTGAATTTCTATTTGACATCAATTTGTTCAAAAATTTCAAAATCAGCTCAGTTATTTGCACCCATTAAATTTATATAACTGTGCATGTATCATTGTAATGTAATATTTAAAAACCAACTACTTTAATGTATTAGAAAATCAGAAAAATAAGCATGCTTCATTAAGCATTATATAAGCAAATAAAGCACACTTCTATAAATGAAGGAAGAAATGTTTTAATAATTTTTCTGATCATCTGTTACATTAAATAATATCCCTCTCTGTCTCTGTCTCTGTCTCTCTGTCTGTCTTTGTCTGTCTGTCTGTCTGTCTGTCTATATATATATATATATATATATATATATATATATATATATATATATATATATATATATATATATATATATATATATAAACATATATATATGAATTTTATATATATATATGAATTTTATATATATATGAATTATATATATATTGTTTTTATTATCAATAAACAAATTCATTATGCTAAGGAAAAGCATTTATGGTAAAAGAAGTAATTAACATATATCATAAGTTAGATGACCAAAAGTATTATATATGGGTATCACTGATAAACCAGTAAATCCATGCAAAATAATTATTTATCATGATCTCTTAAAAAAGAAAAAAGAGATAATGGCACATTGAAATAAACAACTACAGGCACTTAGACAGGAGGAATATTAGCTTCTGCTTTTATCTTTGTTTGTTATCTACAGTGAAGCATTGTATCTCACTTCATCTTTGAAAATTAGTGTGATATGTCTTATCTTAGCTCATTGATGTCATATCATACTTTGTAAGAGACAATTTTTATATGAAGTAAAAAAAATGACAAAAATACAATAAATGGCAGGAAAAGGTTGTGTCATTTAGAGTTTCAGTCCTAATAAAGATGAAAAAACTATTTATTTTTCAACACTTTACAAAGTTAAGATATAAAAGAATCTCAACAATTTTTTAAAAAATTTATCAATAATTTTCTGCATAATCATTTAAAAACCATCAAAGTGTATAAAAAAGCAATCAAGCTTGGTCTTGAGCTTTTGAACAATATGATGAATAGCAATGCATAACCATGAAGGAATTTTTGATTGGTAAAAAATGTATGATTTTATATATATATATATATATATATATATATATATATATATATATATATATATATATATATATAAATATATATATATATATATATATATATATATATATATATATATATATATATATATATATATATATATATATATATATATATATATATATATATGTGTGTGTGTGTGTGTGTGTGTGTGTGTGTGTCTGTGTGTGTGGTTCTGTGTGTGATTTATATTTTTTATGTAGCTTTAAAAAAATTTCATTCATAACACAACAATGTCTGCAGTGTGGCTGTTTAAAGTGATGCCCAGCACTCGGGCATCCTGCTGCATTATGTTCCACAAAGTCACATTATCCTGACAACAAGTTAACACTACCCTCTTATTGCTGAGCCCCAAGCGAAGCTGCTAGTACCATTTTCAAAAGTCTTTGGTATGACTTGTCCAGGATTTGAACCCGTGACCTCTGGCATCTAAAGCAGATGATCTAACCACTTAGGTCACTGGAGTGTTCAGACCAGTTTGCAGACCAAAACCTGGTTTAACCAGATCCCCTTAGGTATTACAAAAGATGCTGCAAATAAACTAAAATGAAAAACAGCATATTGCCTTAATGGTTAACCATTTTTAAAAAAAAACAATTAAGACTAATTAATGCCCTAATTATTCCAACTATGATTAATTAACACCCAAATTATTCCAGTTTTGATATATGGCAGGGAAGTATGGTTCTCTATGATTAATCTCTTCAATAGGACAGGAAGTATTCATGGGAAAACTGAATTTGAAAAGACAATGAATGTAAATTTGGCATATATTACAAAACAAGCAATTTTTAAGCAGAGCTCCATTAAGTACTTCTAATATATATATATATATATATGTGTGTGTGTGTGTGTGTGTGTGTGTGTGTGTGTGTGTGTGTGTGTGTGTGTGTGTGTATGTGTGTGTGTGATTGTTACAAATGACTGCTTGAGCTTCCTTCCAACAGATTTTGGATGATGCTTAGGAGCTCTTGTGAGCTGAATGAAATATGTTGCTTTCAGTTCATTTGGCAATGCAGCTTAGGATACTGCAGTTTTACGATGATTCAGACAACACCTCACTTGATATTTCTCATATGTAAACCAAGATTTGATTCTAAACAATTCTCTAATAAGATAGGAAAAACTAATTAAAGCAGATGGTAAATAGCTCATATAAATATATATACAAATATAAATATATAAGTAGTTTGATATTACCAATTATCTTGTTTGTAATGCAACCAAATGTAAATAATCATTCAAAATAAAAACTTAACACAGTTATCATTCTTTGAAAACAAGAACAAACAAGAATTCTAAAACTCCCAAATTATTATCCTGTGCTTTCTGTCGGACATTAGCAGACTCTGAATCAAAATTTCCACTAGAATGCCCAAATTTCATGACCTCCATGATATAATAATCATTACCATTCAACCCTACAGAGCTCCATTTATAAAACTTTGATTTAAAAAAAAATTATCTGCTTAATCCTCACACAGCAGAAAATGTTACTGTATATTTAACTACACAGAAAAGACATTGGAACTTAGCATGAAAACTGTGGAGACATTTAGTTTTGTAAATATTCATCCTTATTAAAATTATTTCTCATTTGGAAAAAAAAGTGTATTCATCTACCATATATACTTGCTTATAAGTTGTGTCCAATGGCAAATTACACAGTCCCAGATCTGCTGCCACATATTACACAATCCATCATACCAGCCAAAACACACATACACATACATACATACATACATACATACATACATACATACATACATACATACATACATACATACATACATACATACATACACACACACACACACACACACACACATACACATACATACATACATACATACATACATACATACATACATACAAATTTGTCATATTATGGTCTGAAACACAAAGACTCATTCAAAAGGAGCATTTATGAACTTGATCACTCGTCAATAAAAATAAAATTAAAAAAGAAACATTCATTTTCCATTCTTCTAGCCTTGGGTAAGTATCACATAATTAGGTTTGTCATACATAAAGTTTTTTGTTTAAAACAATTTTTTACTTTCCCCAGGATAATCTATATAGTTATAGAGTATGCTTTTCGTTTTTTAATTACCACTAATCTCTTATCTCCACTACCTCCTGGGAATGTTTCACCATTATTAAGAATGGATTGTCAACATGAAGTATTTGATGAAGTATTTGAACAAGACTTTCATTTCATAAAATGGCTTGAAGAAACAAGTGGCTTATACTGAGAAAAAAAAATGGTACACTTCAAAAGGGGAAATGAAAAAGCATACAGTACAATAGAGTAAAAGAAACTCACCTCTTTCCAACAGCAAATGCAGGAAAGGCTAGAGAGAAATC